TTATTCTTGAGAGAATTGAAAATAGATTTGGAATTATTGCAAGTCTTTGCAAGCTTGTAAACTCTCTTAGGGTAGAAATTTCATATATTTTTAATATAAATTATTTAGTTACGATTCCTACATCTATGAAAGAAGTCAGTAATAAAGTTTAAAGTTTACAATAAAAAGTTTTGCAATTAAGAGAAGCAAGTAGATCTCATTCACAATTGAATCTAAAGAGTCTTTCTATTACAAGTATAAGGAATATAAGGATAAATATGTTGGAGAAGTTTCATAGAACAAGATCAAAGTTTTAAGGACTTTAACAATAAGTAAAGCTCTATCTAAAATTACATCCTTTTCAATAAGTAGATGGATCTACTCAAGTTGGAATCATAGGTGTTCTTTTTTCTAAGAGTGCATTTTTTTGGTTTGCATCTTTGATGGAAAAAGATTCATAACTATTCTATAATTTGAAATCATTCTTGAAAGTAATTACAAAAAAGTAGCAAAGACCAAATTCATAGCTTTACAACAAAAATCACATTCAACTATTACATATGCTATTGAATTCCAAAATCTTGCTTGCAATATGGATTCGAATGATAAAGCCTTTATTAATAAATTTAATGTGGATTAAAAGATAATATCAAAAATTTATTGTTAATAATATTGAGAGTAAATTTATTAGAATAATTTATTGCTTAAGCCATTGCATACAATAATTGACTCTTTGAAAGATATTAAGAATAAAGATTTGGTTGAAAAAGTACAAGTTAAGCAATGGCAACATCTTTTAGGTTTTTGGAAACTTACTCGTCTAGACCAAATCCTATGCAAGTTGACACAATATGTTTTAATCTTTTACAAAGTAAGAAAAGACTCATTGTCATCAAAAAGATTTGTGCATATATTGTAGTGAATCTAAGCACACTAATCAATATTATCTTTAAAAATTAGAAAATCACAAAATGATGAGCATATTTGCTAAAGATAATGCATTAAAAAATAAATTTCTTCAGCTACAATAGAGATTGTACGAGTGAAATCTTGATAGGCAAATAAAGTACATAAATCAAGTTTTGGAATAGTATTTTAAGTATACCATCAACCACCAACAAGATTTATTGTGGATTTAGAATATTTTTTATATTTAAATATACCAATCTAGTTACTTATTGAATATATCTATTGGAATCTATGAATATTCATATCATATTTTATGTGCCTCTTCTTAAATTATATAAGATAGTGAATATCTTATAAAAAAGACAAATGCCACTACTTCTAATAGAAGTGGATAATAATCAAGGATTTAAGGTGGAAGATATATTAGACTCAAGGTTGCATTGAAATAGAATATCTTGTTCATTGATATAGATACAATATTAGTGATGTATATAGGAGCAAAGAAAAAATCTTGCAAATACAATAAAAAAGGTCAAAGCTTATCGTAAATGACATCCATCAATACAAAGGTGAAGAGTCAAGTAGTTCTTTGCTATAAAAGAAAGAATGTTCAATGAAAATTTCTTTTCATTTTTTATCTTAATTGTGATTTCTTTATAATAGTAGCACTAATAAGATGAAGAATCAACAACCATCACATTCAACTTAAGAGCTATAATGTATAGAATTATTGAACAAAATATTGTAATTGTGACAAATTTTAAGATGACATAATAGAAATAAATTCTTTTAAGAATGACTTATTTTTTATATATTTTAGAATGACAATGAAAAGTGGCATAATATATAAAATAATATAAAATATTACAAAAATTTGATTTATAATTTTTAAAAATTTTAAATTTTAAATTTTAAAAAAAGATAAAAAAAATGACGGAAAAGATCAAAAGAATGAAATAGTAAGAAAAAAGATTATAGTTATAACTGTAGTTTTTAAATAGATTGCAACTTGTTATAGCTCAAGAGATAGAAGGCTATGTGATTGTATTGTTTTTTTGCATATTATTTACACTAGCAATCATAAGCCATGTCTTGCCTATAACAATCAATAAGTTTGACAAGAATCAATCCTTGATTAGCTTAAGTAGCATGAATTTAATTAACCAATCAAATTTGTGACTTGGTATTTGATGTTGTATCTATGAGGCTTTTATTTTTTATCTTAAATTTTAATAGACTTTAATCTTTACTTTTATTGTTTTATTTTATTTTTTAAATTTCTGTATAATTTGTATGTTAACTTTTAGATAGTTTAGAATAAAAAAAATTGTTTAAAAAAAAGTAAAAAAATAATTATGGATATTAATATTTTATTTATAAAAATAAGTTAAGATAGATTGATATGAGCTTACAATAGAGTGGTATGGTATTGAGGTAAAGAAATATAGACTAAAGTAGAGTGATATAAGCTTGTATTGACTTTTGAATCCTTCCCTTTTATTCCTTTGCTAGGGCTTTCTTTCCTTAGATATAACCAGCCGCTTGTTTGAGGTTTTTTTATAATATGCTTGGAATTTAGATTTGAAATTTTGACGAGTTGTTCTTTTTTTTATAAGCTTCTTGGAAAGCTTTTACTTTGAAAAGAATTGATGTAAAGCTATGATATTTTTTTTAATAAAAAATAATTAGCTTGTGGTATCTTTTTGAATAAAGAAGAGTCAACCTTATATTAATATGATCTATGACTTTATTTGCTTACAAAATATATTATAAAAAAAATTAGGAATTAAAAATTGATCTATATATATATATATATATATATATATATAAGCTGAATAGCTTTCCAAAGAGACATCTTATGCTCAAATCTAATGAATTATGGAGCTATGGTGCCTAATTGAATGAAGAACGGTGTCAATTACCACATACTATCAAGAACTACTATATATAGTAATTTTGGTTGCTTATAAGGTTTTATATACAATATTTTAGACAATAAGCTTTGGTGTGCATATAGCATAGATAAGTAGCTTTCTAAAAAACTATCACATGCTCTATTTTAAGATAGTACACATCAATGGTGTTTACTTGAGTCAAGGGTGGATTAGCTACCATTAATTTTATGAGCAATAATTTTAAAAGCCTATAGAATGTAGCAAGTAATATTTTTGAGAGCAAGATTTGATATCTATAAAATATATAAAGATATTTTTTTTTAAAATTTATTATATATTCTATTTAAAGATAATTTGAAGTTATAAAATTCATTTGAAATAAAAAAAAATATATTTGACCATATCTAATTACACCTATAAATCCTATATTTTCTTAAAGAAATTTTTTTCTCCATTATAAAATCATTAATATTATGACTTTGGAAGAAGCCTTTGATATTTGGTAAATTTAATGGAAGAAGGAACAACTTTTAATATTACTACAAATGTTTTATTTAAAAGAAGTTATAAAAGACTCAACAATGATCAAATATTGAGATGGTCTTTCCACCTTAGAATATGAAATTATCATTAGTTGAGAGGACCTATTAACTACCTTCAAAAGAAACAAAGATTAAAATATGTAGTAAATATAATTTGTTGCATCTTGAACTTTATCAATATATGATCACTACTCTTTGAAGAAGTTTTTTCTAAAATAAGGGGCATAATATCACAAATATCCATATTTATTCTAATAATTATTTATATAATATGAATAAATAAAAATAGATAAAAATAAATTAATTTTGATAATATCTTATAGAATATATTCTTAGAAGCTTCATATATAGAATTTCACCTCTATAGGTGTCTATAGGTCATTAATAGGTTGAATACTTGGCCAAAAAGTTAGCAACATATCACATATATTAGAAACTTGTGGTATAAGATAATTATGTGGTATACACATAAGAAACTTACCTGACAAGTTAAGACATGTGTCTCACAAATTGAATACATGTTGGAAGTCTTATAAAACATTGTCACATAGTTTTTAATTAGATAGTATATATTTAGATAAGAATGAAGCCTTTTTCACTCTTATCAACTCTTTTTTTGCTTCTATTTTAATTTCAAGGGTTTTTAATTTTTTTATCTTTTAGTAATAACTATTCTAATTTCTTTTTGAATATACATATTTACTTATTTCTTTTTTTATCATCCTTTTTTAAGAAAATTTTTACTTTTTTATTTGGATTCTAGTATTGAGTCCATGTCTGGGTGGGATTTTTCAGTCCTGCTCATGCCAAACATTCTGTACTGGTACCCCTTACAATGGATTTTTTTACATTTGTGCCAAAAATAAATAAATAAATAAAAATCTTATTCATTTTTACATTTTATCACAAAGAAAGAGCTGATTTATTCTCATCTCAAAGTAAAGAATGGAAAAAGTGAAAAGTAAAAGCTAATACTCAGGAAGAGTTACGAGATTTGGAGTTTGACACGGAACCCAAATTGTCTTCATGCACGATATAGGGCCCCACCAACGGTAATAGGTCCCAACTCTTGTGGTCTTCAAAATTTTGAAAAAAGAAAAAACTGCCTTCTCGAGCTGCCCGAGAACCCCCTACCCTATCAACGATTCCCAATAATCCAAACCATGCGCGGAAATCTCGTAGCAACAGCCAATACCTGCCAGATACTACCCTTCGCGCCGGATCCGGGTATCGGCGTCGAAATCAAAACAAGAGGTGGCAGTTGCGCAGCCGGGCTGGGCCGGGCTCGTGAGACCTGGCCCGGGGAGCCCCCCCTAAGGCCATCCAGTGCGGAGGAGTGAGTTTTTCCATTGCGCCGGATTTTGTTGTTTTGTTGTAGAGCGAGAGAGCGAGAGTGAGTGAGGTTTTTCACTTTGCAAATCGCGCTTTGTCCGATCATTTGGTGTGCTTTTTACTCACTCTTTCTCTCTTTTTCTCTCTTTTTTTTCTTCTCGGGGCTTGAATTCTGTGGAAGCCCATGCATAACAGCAGCAGCAATAGAAGTTCTGCAGCATCGTCACCCAATCCTGTTTCGTTTTTCGTTTGCGTTCTCTTCATCTCTCCATCTGTTTCTGTTGCGGGATTCGTATCATATCGTCATCGAATCACTCACTGGGTACCACCCTATCCCCCCCTCCTCCTGGTCCTCTCCATTGCCCCTGGTTTGCTTTTATATCTCTGTGTCTCTGTGTCTCTGTCTCTGTGTCTCTCTCGCTCTCTCTCTCTCTCTCTCTCTCTCGTTGTGTGCTGCGTTTAGGATTCCGCTTTCTGAGTGAATCCTATCCGAATTTTTGTTGGTTGAATTGTGAGTGAGGCGACACGTATGAGAAAAGTTTTTTTTTTGGTTTGTTTTATTTGTTTTATTTTTTTTGGGTTGAGTTGTGTTGGTAATTGGAGTGGTGATCGGTTTGTTCGTTAGGAGGATTGAGGAGGCTGATGACGGCGATGTTGGGTTTTCAGAGAGGATAACTGAATTGGGTAGAGGAGCAATTCATCACGACATTTGGGTTTTTGAGATATTTGAATCTATGCAGAGGAGCTGGTTTTGCATGTCTGCAAGCAAGAAATGTGCACCGTCAGCGTGAAGAAGACGCAGACCTAGGTTTTGGGTCGATTGGTGGAGGATTGGTTTTGGTGGGTGCACTATCAGGGAGGTCTGTGGAGAAGCATCCGCCCTTCGTATGGTCTAGGTATGGTTTCGTTGCAGATGTGTATCAGTAATGAAACATGGACAGGTGGAATTAAGATCGTGAGGAATAGGGATGGGCCATCTTAGGATTGGCATCGGGTGTTACGGTGAGTTTCATAATGCGAGACGTTCTTGGAGTTGCTTGTATACTGTAATCCTCATTAGAATGTTCTCGGTTCTAGTGTTCATTGAAGTGGAGAATCTGTGTTGGCCTTCACAACTCTCTACAATAATGTATTTCATATTGTCATGCTTATCTGCTTTCTTTGAAAATTGGGGTGGAATTTATCTTCGTTCTTCTGAGTTGCAGCTATTACATTCTACCATTATGGATGAACCTTAGAGTCCTAAATATTGCGATCGCTACATTGTAGAAAAGATTCATCGCCAACGGGTTGAACGAATTTACTTAAACTGACGCTGAAATTTTAGCATCCCGAGACTCTACATTTGCAGCAGTGAAGCACGATTCCAGGCCCCTTTTGATATTGTGAGGTTGACCTTCCCTCTTTAATATCAAGTGGACTCAAATGTAATTATGCGGGACCTATGACTTGGTAGTCTTTCAACCGGTGACTGAAAGCACATACTGTATGTGTTTTTGTTCATCTGCACAGACGGATTTCGTTGTTGTCTTTGTCTCTTTCGATTGTTCTGTGCCTCTTAAAATTCCATGAGCCTGTTGTTGCTCTTTTTACTTCATCGATGCATGTGCTCCCGGTTTAGCCAATGAGAGTTTCCAGACTTCAGGGTTCGAAGTTTCAATGTTAGAGCTATGACGTGCTACACATGTTCATTTGGAGGCCGGGATGGTTCACAAGGTTTTGAGACCCTTATGTGTTCTGTCATATACAGTACAAGTTGCTTGGAATAATTTGCATATTCGTCTTGGTATTTCTTGTCATGCGTGGACATCTCTCTTATCAATGTCCTGGTCGTCAAGAGATGGTACGATTTGACTTCGACATCTGATGGGATATTTATTAATATGAACTTGCATTCCATCACCTGTCCAAAATCCTTTGAATTATATAGTCAACAATACAATTCTGCCAGCTCGTAGTGCATAAAAGTTTTCCTCTCCTCGTATATCCCCTTAGGCCTGTGCATGCGAGGTAATGTGCTCGAAGTTCCTGTTAATCGGTTTTGTAAATGTAATGAAGTCTTGATCCTAGTGTTTGAATTTTGCAGATACTTGAAAGTCATGAGCTCCTGAATACCGTAATTGTAGCAGCAGGCGAAGAAGCTCAACGCAGATTTTGTTGTAACGACACAGCTATTTTGCATGAAAGTTTCAAATCATACGAGAATCTACTTTTGTGTAGTGTCTTTGCTCACGGGTTTCCTCACGATGGCGAGATCTAAGCCTGTATCTGCAGTTTCAGCTCCAGCTCCAACCTCAAACACCACCACTGCGGGATCAAAACTGGACAGATCAATCACACCCCCAAACCCTAACTCCAGGTCTGAAATGTCTCCACTCAGCAAGGCGATGGAATCCCTGGACATCCGACCATTCAGTCTCGATAACAGTGCACATAATTTGGACATGCCAGAAAGTCGGTATGGGTCAAATATTAGATCTAAGCTTGTACAAGAAGAAACATCCCTTGAAGACATGATTGTGGATTTAATCCTTGATGGGCAATGGGAAGTGCTCCAACCCAATAGTGGAAAATCGATCGTTCTAGGCAATGGCAAGTCAGTGTCAGTGAGCTATCAGGAAGAGCCTGGATCCGGGTATCGTACTTGGGAGTGGCACGGGCATGTCATGGTCTACGAAGATGGGGAGGGGTACGTGCCAGAATATGTATATGGAAACTATTTCGAGCCCTTGGAAGATGAAAATGAACCTGACTTCATTAGCATGAACAATATGAATAGCATGTGTAGCGTTAACCCCAGATTAGGATTAGGTGGATATATAAGTGGTCTAGGATATATTCATTGATGCAGTGAGTGCGTTAGGGTCAAACAACTCGTTTCCATTTCATCGTGAAATTGTGAACCTCCATTCGATTCTTTCGAGGACAAGAGAATCCTTGTGAAATTGAAATACTGGTTATATACCTCTGCATTCTGTCTGTGTTTCAATCTCACTTTGCCACTTGGAGACGCTAGAGACAGTCTCTTGAGCCTGTATTTCTGTGTCTAAGAGAAGAACCCTGAAGAACCTATGGAAGAGAATACCTGTGTGCACGACCTTGATTGACCTATAACTGTACCAACCTGATCCTGTGCAGTTGCACACAGCCCTAGCCGTTGCAGTATTGTTGAGATGATGCATTGAAGTGGTTGGTGATGATAATGAAAATGCGCCGTATCAAAAATCACTGCAGTACCACGGCACATCGCGTGAACACTTATCGTGCGGACCCTTATCCTGCAAAACGTCAGTAGAAGCCGCTCCCCAGTCCGTCGATCACATCCCAGACATGAAACACCTTTAGATTATCTGCAAACAGCCCGGTACAACGCGGAGACGGACAAACCGAGTCAGGGTCTCCTTTACCAGATGCTTTGGGAGTTGATGATTGAGGACATTGAAGAGGTTTCCAAAGGTATAGAAAAAGGTTCACAACGGTGCGGTGGACTCTTGCATGCAAAACTGCAACCTCTGTTCCATCCAGCATCATACAAATCCCAAGTTTTGTAATAACGAAGAGCTGGTAAGGCTTGACCACAATCTTCAGCGTCCGTCATGATATACGTTCCCAAGTCATGAAAAAAGTTATCTCCCTCGAACATCCCTGTTCAAGCACACCCTCAAAATAGCAACATACATCACAACCGGGAACCGCAGACATGAAACTGGGTACATCCTCGATGTGGTTAATTTTTTTTTATCTTGTGGTGAAGTAGAGTACCAACATCACCAAAACGATGCAATGAAGAGAGCATGTGCCTTGCAACACCATAGCTATGGCGTCCAAGTCCTTGTCTGTGTAGATCAGCCTCTGTGTCTGCAGCGTCACTAGGAATGCTAATTATCTTACGAAGGTTACCTTCATTGCAGAGTGTCTCCTTTTACGCTGTAGTGGCAGCAATTGCACCGTGCTTGAGAAATTTTCAGCAACAACCCAGCGCAACAAAAGCACAGCCTGAGGTGTGGGGATTTGCTGGACTTGATTTGCACAACAAAGTTAGAGCTTGTGTAACCTAGCGCCGCTGCTGCACCTCCATAACCCATGTTGAAGCTGTGTGAGAACAAATGTGCAATGAATTTTGAGAGACATTCAAGCATCGGTGAATTAACTTTAAATTTCCCTAAGTGTTTGGGTTATAAGCCACACATAAAATTCACAATGAATTACAACATAGATGTGTGGCTTTCTACTTATAATTTTGTCAAGGATGATCATTTTTTTTTTACATTTTCTGAAAACATTCGTACATTTACAACTTAAACCAGGGTTGTGAAGTGTCAAATAAAAATTTAAAATCATAATAAATTCAATCCAACATCACTCCATCACATGCAATGTATTCATGACTATGGCTCAATGCGGATGAGTTGGATCATCATGCCCGGGAATGTGTTGGATAAGACTTTTCTTTTGCCCAAGACTCTCCTCAAGAAGCACAAGCAAGGATAGTTACCAAGTTTGTCGTCCAATGTAGAAGTTGTGTAGCTTGGATCTGTTATAGTGGAGTTGTGTAGCTCAAATTTGTTGGAGTAGAGCTATATCACACCTATTGCATCTTGCTGAGGTGCAATTGGATCATGCATGTTATGCTCTCCATTGTCTAAATAGTCTTGTATCAAAAAGCAGTTGGTCCTTTCTTTCTTATGGAGAAGTTCCAATTTTTTTGCAAAGTGTCACGGAACATTTGTTGATCTATCCAATCTAGTAATCTGCAACTTTCTAGCCATCGTCAGTTGTGTGCCTGGTTGCACATATCTTGGTAAGGCTACAATTCACATCTAGGGTTGCTTGCACATGTTGCTTGTGAAGTTTGATTGCCAATCAAACTCTAAGTGCTTTTGGTGGTTGCAGTGAGAACACAATTGATAAAACATCAGCTTGTGAGATGATGCGATGCGGTAGATCCATTTGTTGCATTTCATTGACAACGATTGATAGTTTGTGTGAGATGCATAGGCACGTTGCAGAATCTGTTGTTGAGTGATTGATAGCCATCATTTTGATCAGTATTGAATGTTGATATAGTTTTTGCAAGAAGCCTCAAAATAAAATAACATTCCATCGCCGTTTCACATCATTGCCTTGCAACAAGCTCCGTAGTGATACCATTTTCCTTCAGTCACTCGGCTTCCCCACAGCTGGATAGACTGGTTCACGGAACAGTAACTCCATGCTCAGAGGTCTTTTGAGTTGTATTGTGTGTTGTTGGTCTCTGCGAGTTATTGTGTGGCTCTGGTTAGAGATGAACTGTGAGCTCTTTGCAGTTCTTCCCAAAAAATGAGTTTACACTGCACTGTGGGATATCTTTATCTCTGCTTTAATGGTTGAGGATTGCCGAAATTCACTTGTAGAGTTCGGCGTCTTGACTGCCTCCCATCTGGTGCTGCAGCTCTGGACTGTACTTCTTTCTCTCATTTGCGCATTCCATGTTGTCACTTCCCCGTCAATTTCACGACGCACTGATCGAAAGATTTTTGTCAACCAGAAGTTTGTGATTATGGAGTGCTAAGTTAGAAAGGAAGGTGCAAGTGGGATTGAAGCGAAAAAGAATTTTAGGAACGGAGATGCTCCTAGCCTCACCATTCGGCAGCTGCGTCCGACATCTGCTGCTACTATCACGGCTTACTCACTCTGCTGACAATTAAGCGAGAACTCAGTCGCATCCTGATGAAAACCTTCGAATAATTCCAATCGCTTTTGTTGCGAGAATATTGTAGGAATTCCAAGGTTCACTTCTTAGGCAAGAGGTTTGGAACAGGAGCAGCAACTCCCGATGATGATTTCCGGGTTTGACAATAGAGTATATGGTCTGATTCTTGCATTGGATTCAACATGAAAGTGAGGTCCAACTCAGAGTGGTTTTGAAAACCCCGATTGACACAAAAGACGAATGCGCACTACTTACGTCAAGACCAACATCAGACAACGGAATACGTGTGAATTTTTTCCATAATTCGCTTCAAATCTCGAGGCTGTATGTTCAATGAAAACAACTGATGCATCAACCTACTTGGGCTCTCGCAATGTGAATTCAGGGGATGCGCCTGTACCACAATGGTACCCCTACCCTCCCTCTGACTATCTCCACTCGTTGTTCGACTTCTCGGAAGTATTTCCCAAAAAGTTCCCGTATGGCAAAAAAGAAAAAGAAACAAAATTTTGACTACACAGGTGGTATGTACAATTATAATTTCAGAAGTGTCATTGAGACTCCAAGTTCTTGGATAGACAGGCAGACAGGATTGTCAGGTTCTCATTCAAAGTGGAGAACCCCTCCATGACCTTCTCTAATTTAACGTTAATTCTCTCCAAGACTTGATCCTGCGGTTGCGCCACATCTTCAAGAATGCTCACACGCTTCTCTACGTGTCCCATGTGTTTGAATAACATGTCCATCATCATCTCCATACGCTGCTTCATTCCTGCTTCCCTCCTATCAGAAGCCTGAACACACGGACACATGAGAAAATCGCCGTTAAGTACACGAATCCGAGCACTATGATCCGTTCATAAACTGAAACACACTGTTAAGAACTTCAACTGGGTTTAGACGTAGACAACGAGCTGTTACCTGTATTTGCATTTGCAACAATTCTTGCATCCCTTTCAACTCCTCGTTGCAGTCCACTAATTCCTCTTGATCCAGAGCGCTCCTAGATTTGAAAAGCAAACCAGACCTCGGTTGAAAGGCTTCAGTTATGTCACCTCCGCTTCTCTTTCTCTTGATAAGGTTTCTCCTTCTCGTCCATTGCTCAGACTCGCTGTCACTAGCATCCGAGACAGACGATGACGAGGTCCAATCGTCCTCGCTCACAGAGTCCTCGCACATCTCAGACTCCACCACGGTACAACATTCTTCCATGTCGTCAAGCTTTCTCTTCATTGGAAGACTGTCAACCTGAGGGCATCTCATGTAAGAACCTAGCACTACTCCGACAATCGCTGGAAACCAAATAGAGACAATCCAAACCATGCACATCGGAAAATCAACCACGAGCGCGTCAAAATCTCACCATGCCACGAGACTCGCCAACTCCAAACGGATCGTGCATGAAGCTCTTCTGTGTTCGGCATGGTCCTTTGCTGATACCGCTTGTCAAATAAGCTGCAGATGCAGAACAAATGCATCAGCACAATGCTTGAACCCATCAACATGGTACGCTAACCAATCGGTAGTAGTGCAAAGTCCTTGAAACACCCACAGCAACTGCTACTTCCAAACAAACAATAGCCTGGCTCGACTGAACCATCACTCCTGAGACGGAAGAATGCGAGGAGGGGATTTCGTTGATGAACACTTCACCCACCAGACAACCCGCACAACTAAAGCTATCGATCATACACACATACGTACATGTACATACAATACAACTCTCAAGGGAGGGCGTAAAACTCACCGAACCCATTTTGCAAGCTGTCCATTCTCCGGTCTCCATCCGATCGACTCAAAACACGCACGCTAACCGCGTCATCGCGGTCACTAACCACGTCAACATCCTCCGCACAGCTATTCTCGACCAAGCACCCCAGCTTGTCCATGTGAGACCAGTCCTCAACCTCTACACTAAGACCTCGCAACAGACCCTGCGCCTTAGGTCCTCCTACAACTATCTCTGACTCGAGCCCATCGCAGTACGAGTGCAACGCCGCTGATATGCTCCGCCCGCTCACAAACCCCCCACTCTCCCGTGCACGAGTCTCCCCTCGCACAACCTCCTCCCCTTGCTCCACATCCGCGGACGACCCACACTGCAGCACCACGCTCTCGCTACTCTCGCCGTCCCCGGGGTTGTCCCCAACCACGAGCTCCTTCCGTGGCGGCTCCATAGGTCCGTTTCCAACGAAACTATGAAAAACACACACAACCGCACTCTCAACTTCCTCACTCAATTAATAACCCTCTACGCTCGTCTCGTCACCTCCGACTCGATCGCAACTCACTCCCAACAAAAACACCACTCAAAATCCTCGATGTCGAAACGCAAAACAGGCTCCTCCCCCACCTGAGAAAAGAAAAGAAAGAAAGCTAGCTAGCTACCTAGCTGCTCCTGCAGCAAACAGGCCAAAACGAATGCCAGCGGAGTCGACCAAAAACACAAAGCAGCGTCACCTCCGCCGCACTCGCCACCACATCGGTAGTGGTTGATGTGAAATGCTACGGCGATGTCGATGCAACGCAACACACGCATAGATGTAGAGGAATCCGTGAATATGTAACTAATAAGAGAGAGATATTGAAGAAGGCAGGCAGGGCAGGGAAGGAAGAAAGGAGGCTGAAAGGGGGTTGAAAGGAGGGTGCGGGGGGTGGGTGGGTGGGGCAAGAGAGAGAGTAGAGGAAGGGAGCCGAGAGAGGGGCCGTCGGAGGCGGAGAAGAAGAAGAAAGTAGAGAAAAGGTCCGTGTGGCAGATACCAACAAGGAGCTTCCGTAGCGACTGCCGTACACACTCCGTTCTTTTGGATTGTACCTTCCCCATTTTCTCACATCCTAATAATATCCAACTCCTTCCAATCCCCACCACCACCAACTCTTCCTTGCTTGCTGTCTTGGGGCATCATCGCTGCTTCCGTTGCTCACTCTTCGTAAAATCCTTCCCACTCTACATTTGCACCCCCTTGCAGTGGAGGTGAAGTCACCCACCGAGGCTGCGTAATCCTGCTTCTGGAAGTTATCGCTGTGGTGGGAGGAAAAATAATAGTAGTAGTGGTCGTGGTGGTAAATTGGTGTGGGCGTGGTTGTGTGACTTTGCAGAAATGGGTTTGTGTTTTGTTGCAGGGAAGGAGGGAATCACCTACTTGGGGAACAATCTTCGTCGTCGACGTCGTCATCATCGTCGTGTTGTTCTTTCTTCTTCCATCACTGTCACGCTGCTGGGTTCTTTCATCCATTGTGGGTATGACTTGGACCTCGGTAAATATTGAAGTATTATTGACCTGAATCTGCAATGCTTTACTTTGATATATATATATATATATATATATACACGCACATTAGGTTTCTTTCCCTTTCCTAGTTTTTTTCCTCTTTTGAATTTTTACGCGGTTTTATTGTAACGACTTTGACATAGCACTACTTTCTAGGGGAAGGTTTACATCCGCGTTGTTTCAACGTGTTATGTTTTTGTGCATTCTCAACGTCTAAATATATGTGTGGATAATCATGCTCTCTATACGTTTTATATATATATATATATATTTATACATATATACAAACAAATAAAATAAGAGGTTAGAAAATACCACCCATACATCAAAACTGTACAATGAGAAAAACCTGAGAAGTCATCTCCATAAAAATGCACATTGGACACACGGAGACGACAATTTGCTAGTGACTGCGGAGGATCCCCCATCTTCCAGTAACTATAGAGAACATGATGTTACTCCTCCACGAGAACCAGTTTTCTTCTTTAACCTCGAGCATGACAAGACCTAGGAATACGTCATGGTGGTATAGCATTTTGAATCCGTTAGCGGCGCTTTATTGTCACCCTCGCATCTAACAGCGATTCAACGATTGCTTCGGTTGTGGGGTAAAAGTCTTCTTCTTCTTCTTGTACTATTTTTCTATTTTTCTTTTTTGCTTTGATAGTTTATTCTCATTCTGCAGAACTTCCCGGACTTGACGCTAGGACTGGGATCCACGCCCAAGTGGCAACAAAGGTGGAAATCTGCTCCAGGAATGCATCCATGTGTGAGGCAGCAGCAAACCCAAGCAGGTCAAATAGTATGCAGGATTTTTATTTATTTTTTCCTTCTGAAATGCCATGTTTGAGTCACTTATGGAATAACCTAAACACGTGGTATGGCAATGTTCGAAGCATCGAAAGAATTCTAAATAAATACGGGAACCAAAAAAGGAAATCCAAATCCTGATCCTGGCCCTGGACAGGATTTCACTCAGTCGCGGAGGATTGAGCAAGAGTCGAAATTGTAACCGTAACTAGTGGAACTGCTGATTCGATACCTTGAGGTTCAATCCGCTGACGTGCTTTCAAAACGGAGCTTAGCGACGAGTTTCAAGTAACATTTTTATCAAATATCGATCTACGCAGAAAAAGAAACAACAACAAAATTAATAAATAAAAAAAAATAAGGCAAAAGAAAGAGAACCCATGAGATTTATCACCGTGTAATGGATCCGTGAAGCGGGGATTAATACAGCGGTCCACCTCACCCAGCTGCGGGTCCTAAATCGAGTGGGGAGGGAGTGGGAGACGGCGTAAGGCACGGAGAAGGTACTTTCTGAGTACTTCTGAAAGTACATCAAAGGTACAAGTGCATGGGAAAGGGTAGGGCCCAGATTAGATTCCAAGGGCGAAGATGACGCAACTGACTTCGGTGACACACTATCAAGCAGAGATTGGAATGTGAGACCCGGAGAGGTGGGGGATAAAGGAGCAGAAGAGGCGGGTGCTCCACCATCCCCACCTTGAAGCAACAACTTGTTGCATGCACATCGCAAGCAGCTTCCGAACGAACGGTTCCCCGCGAATGCTACTTTCTGGTAGCTACAAAGTCGACGTCGCTGCTGCTACTACTACTTCTTGGCCTCCTCCGATTTTGTCCCATCGTCGGTGCATGGCGTTGTCTGCTAGCTAGTTTCTATTATTAACAATGTACACCGCTGTTACGACTACTGCTACTACTACAAGTCCCTCGTCTGATCCGTGTACCGGGAAGTACACATGAGGAAGCTTTTTCCCCTCCGTTCCATCCCCTCCCTCATTCGTTGTTGATCCATTCCCATTCCTTTTTTAGCCCACCATGGAAGGTTCTCGCTGCCCCGGTACGGTTGGTTGGTGGAGGGGTACCCGACGCCCACAAGCTCCCTCCTGCCAACGAACTGCTTCCAGCTACCGTCGCGCCATATCTCGGGGGAGAGGGCGAGGGTTTGGTTCTTGCCTGTCACACACCTGCCGCTGCTGCCTCTGGTTCCACCTCCTCTTCCTCCTCCTGCGTGAGGAATGAGGCAATCCATCCCCTTCCACCGCGCGATTCCAAAATGTCTGTATGAATAGTACTTTCCGCACCCATGGGTGGTAAATAGAACAGAAAAACTGCACCTGGCCGTGTGTGCTCTAATTCCTCGGCAGGTGCAAAGCAGCGTCTCACAAGGTGCTGCGAATAATTTTGGGTTTTTTCATCTTTACATTGTTATGAAATATCGCGTCATTTCACCATGTGTTCGCTAAATAATATGCCGACCGAATAAGATTGTGATGGAGACGGCGATGATAGTTATCCAGTCAATTGGGTTGTGCTTGGCAGTTTCTTGTAAAACTAACTGAAGAGGTGACTATGGATGATTGTGAGATATTGAGGACGTTGTTTCATATTAAGCAGGTTTAACCTCTTTTTTCTTCTTCTTCTTTTCTTCTTTATTTCTTTTTTCAAATTACTGATCTTCACACGTGAGCAACATCTTTCTAATTGCTTTTGTAAGGAACGTGATACGTTTGTAAGGTTTCCTTCTTTTAGGTACCCTATTAATTCGTCCAATCGTCGCATTACCCACAAAAATTCTAACCAACCTGTTTGTTTGAGGCATGTTTTTCCCTGCCTCTGAAAAATTATATTTGCAAGTTGAATGAATATTTGAACCTACTGTTCCGAGATGCTTGCCAATATCAACGGATTTAGGGCAAACAAGCAAATCTTTAAAATATTGGGAATACCAAACGTGTGTGGGCTGGACAGTAGAGATCTCCGTCAGGTGGAGACAGAAACCATCTATAATAGTCGTGTATCATTCTTTTTTAGTTTCTACTTTTCTTCATCAGCCCTAAAAGATAGAAAGAAATGGGGACTCAAGAGGGGGCGAGAGAGGTGCTTCTTCAGTTCAGAGGAGGAGGTGATGGCTCGGATGTGAGAGAGCGGAAGGGATAGAAAAAGAGCGAGAGATAATTGCAGACAATTTCTCATGCGATGGTGATTACTTTGCTGGTTGAAGCACCTCCGAAGCAGCCCCTCTCTCCGCTTTTTCTCTTCCGAGAAGGGGGCCATCGCGCTGGAAAAAGCCGCAACAAACGACACAACCCCATCTCGTCAATTGTGTTGTAGAACCCACAAGGGCATTCACTGTTCAAAGAATGCGGGCCATCATGACATTTTTCTTTTTCCCCTCACATCCTCTTTGTGAGTGGCTTGCGAATGAAGCACTTCATTCTTGTGTACATAATTTCTTTATATTTTCGTTTTCATTTTCGTTTTTATTTTTGTTTTTTCACCCTCATTCTCTGTACTGTTTTTGAAAGGTGTTTTCCCGCTCCTTTCTCTCATGACTTTGCAACCTGGTGGCGCACGCAACACACACTCACACACACACAAGGGAGATACAAATATATACAGGGGCAAGGCAAAAGACAACAGCACTGGAGAGCAACAGCACAACAACAATAACAACAACAAGTTTTAATGGCGAAGGAAGGGAAGGGTGAATTAGTGGGTGAGGAGGAAGAAGCTGCTCGGGGCTCTCTCTCCCCCTCCCTCTCTTACTTTATCTTTATCAAGGAATGTATATATCTTGGGCTGGGCTTGGCTCCCGTCCGTTTCAAATTCAAATAAAATCGTACTCTTCAGAGGTTCCAGTCTTATTTTGTTATTTAGTTAATTTTTTTTTTGTTTGATACTTGGTTTTATGATTTGAAAATGGAGGTTGGGTGACTTCGGTAAGTCCCCCACTTCCTGATGTGAAGAGTCTAGTTCATTTGGTGCCCACACCATGAAAGCAGTCAGTGTGCCGAACACCGTTCAAGTCTTTTACCTCCCTCTACGTACTACTATATATATACACACATATATATATATAGTAATTCATTATTGGATAGAAAGTAACCAGGTTGATAGATAGATAGATACATATCTGTGTGAGTGTATGTGTGTGTGTGTGTGTGTATATATATATATATAAACAATGTAAACACTGAGAGAGGGGAGAAAGAGGGGGAGATGCGTGGGGTGGGGGACGTTATTCTCCACGCTGGGGTTCCGGTTTCAGTCAAGTACTGAGTGCAGTACAAAGCCGTGTACGATGATGATGCTTCGGGGGAGGCAAAGGAGGAGGCCCGCTTCGCATGGCCCTGGCCCTGACCCTGGCCCAAAAGTGTGACCAGCCCTGGAGAACATACTGCGTGCCTTCGCTAATGCCCAGGCAAGACTTCTGGCACCGCACGGGAGGAAAAGCATCAGAGCAGGAGCAGAGCCAAGCCCAGCCCAGCCCAGCCAAGCCAAGCAAAGGAAAGGAAAGAGAAAAGGAGGGGTTTACGGTTCCCTTCCTTTTCTTCCTCATCCCCCCCGCATGTCCAGCGACCCAGACCCCCAGTCCTGCTCGTTCCGTCAGTTATCTAGTCTGGCAGTGTGTTACAACTTGGATGGATCGCAGTTGAGGAAGTTCAGACAAGGAAGGAAGGGTAAAAACGGAGCCTAGCTGCAGTCCTCCTCGATGCAAGCCTGGTGATGATAATCCGGAGCAACCGAGCCCGTACCAAGCCTGATCCAAGGTCGCATCGAATCGGAGACTGGTTTCGGGGTAATTCACGGTAGCAAGAGAAAGAGATTGGTGGGGAAGCATCTGACTATTGCCGAGATTGAATGGCTGGAAGTGGATCTGGGAGTCCTTTTCCTTCTCTTACTCCCGAGCTATGTTTAGTCTCGAAGCCCCGCACGGATGGTACCTATTTGGTACGGACCGCGCCTGCATGCCACGATGGTGGACGGCCCGCGGTCCATGGCATCATCCATCGCAAACACCTGGTGTGGTGGTCGTCTGATGAGCCCTCCCCCCTGCAGTGAAATCAGGTTCAACCGACTCCAGTTTTTTCTTTTTAATAATAATAATAATATTACCTGACTACAGATCCCTGCAGAACAGAAACGAAAGAGGCTCTCAACCTCCATCTAAGGGAGTGAGACTGGAAAGAGAGAGGGACACAGTCCAGGAATAGCAGCTGCTCCGGAGATGCTTCTTTCTTTCTCCCTTCTTCCAGGCTCCTGCTTTTCGGGGCAGCAGCAAAGAGACAGCCGGTGCGGAAGCGGCTTCCGCACACCTTCCCTTTGCAGATCCTACCTCCCCCGACACGCACCGCAGCCCCGCCAGCCTGCAAAGCGTGTCCATCATGATCGCCAGGCCACCTTCCTTCCCATCATCCGATGCATTGCCCGTCTTCCAGATTATTGCCATCTAATCCTTCCACCAACTGGGTGGGCGCTTGCGATCAACGTCTCTGACTACTGCAGCAGTTGGCAAAGGCCTCGTTTTGGTGGACAACTCTCTGTTATCCTGACTGTGTTCGACGTCTGCAGAGCGGGAATTATTCAAACCCATTGCGTGGGCAGGTTGCATTCCGCTCCTGCACTGGAGCCTCGTAAAAAAGGACTTGAAGAGCCGGTTCCTCGGTGGGGTGTTCGACGTGGCATCGCCTCAAAGGACCTCCCAAACACCGTTTGTCACCCTCCATCCCCCTTTTTTTTTTTTTTTTTTTGTTTCTATCTCCCTCTCTTGTTAAATCTTCATCACCTCGGCACCCCATGTCTGCGACGAATCTACGACTTATGCAAATGCAACATTCATATCCAATATGTATATTTATATGTGTGTATGTGTGTATCTTCTCCGACACGTATCCAATCATCGTCGACGTAACTGCTGCTCGTTAAATGCTTCCTCTTCAATGATCTTCCCAGCAGTGTGATGTTTTTATAAACTTGCGCTGGATCTTATATCAGGGTGTAAAAAGAAAGTTGTAGATGTTGGTTTATAAAGTGGAAGACGAAGAAAATAAGTGTCTTGGAAAATAACTTTGCAGGTTTATGAACGCGATGGAACATATGAATATATAAATATATATATATATATATATATATATATCATGAGTTGGGAATCTTCACGATGTCAACGACACTGTAATTTAGGGCTGGAATATTACACATAATTTTAAATTTTTGTTTAGAATATAAATTGTGGAGGAATGTTCAGGATTTGCACATAGTCCTAAAATAATAATAATGTTCCGTAGTTTTTTTACATGTGTGTGTATGAATTTGTGCAGAAAAAGTGATTGATTGTGTGTCAAATGTGATTTCGATCACCCTGAATCCTTGGATATTGTCAGTAGTCCATGCATTTTTGTTGGATAGTAAGTCGGTGGAACTTAGTAACACGTGAAAAAAAATTTAGCCAAAGGTTTGCTTTTTGTGTAACACAAAATGAAAAAGTACATCCATTTTCTTTAGAAATGCAGTACTAATGACAAAGAATTTGATTCACTCATTTATTTATATCCTGGAACATTGTTTAATTCAATCAGACACAAACAATGCTAGAATAGAAACTTGAACCCATACATGCATTCAAAATATTAAAAATACTTTAATCCTCAAATAATTTAGTTTTAAATACTTTTTCTTCCTTCAATTCACACAATAAACTCTTTTTTGTGAAATAAAAATATGTGACTTTATGTTTATGTTCACACACACACACACACACACACACATATATATATATATATATATACATACATACACCCCCCCCCAATGAATTCATTAAAGCAGTCATAAAAGTGTACGAAGACATTGCACTTTTGTTTTTAATGCATTGAATGTGTCATTCATTCTTAGCTTCCTCAATGTGGTCATGTCTGGTAGACAACAAAGCGTACTTGATGTTGTACTAAATATGAACAAATGTACCCACTATTGTTCTTTAAACAATCTATGAAAGGTAGTTTTATTTTTGTGTTGTTGACTTCATTTTATTTATTGACTTGTGTCCAATTCTCATGTGAGTGTCAAAATACAATATTAGTGCATGCTTCCTGGTCATTATATACATACGTATATATACGTACATACATATAAATCTTTATGCATATCAGCAACGTCATTATTTCATAAATCACTGTTTATAACAATATGATAAATTTAATTTAACAATATGATTTTTTTAATATTTTAGATTAAAAACCATTTTGTCACAATATTGATACCTACTAGTTGTTATATTGAAAATAACAGTGCTAGATATTAGAATATTACATTTAGAGCATAAATAGTATATTAGTTGAAGTAAGAAAAAATCAATACATGAAACCAATGAAAACAGTTATTTGCTTTTCCTTTCTTGATCGTAAGAACGTTTTCAAGTTTGCTCTCAATATTTTCTTAACATCTGTTCTTCCTATTTATTTTGTTCTTACTTTCTCGTAGTTAATTCTGATCGTTGCAATAAAAGATTAAGCATGGTTAATTATATACTTTTGGTTGAGATGTAAGAATAAGTGTAATAGTTCGTGAATGCAGATTTTTCAAAACAGTCACATAAATTTTCAGTTTTCTCAATTTTTGCAATCCCTCCAAAGCATTTCAGTTAGATCAAACTATCTAGATTTTTTATAAAACGATAGTAGAAAGAAGGTTTTACCTTCTGCATTGGATATCAAAAATTGTCAAGTTGCCAATGTAAGTTAAGCAAATAAATAAATAAATATTCTATCCATGGACCTGGTTTATTTTTACAGGAGTTTTAAATTTTGAAAAAATGAAATAAAAATGTGTGCTTGGAATACACTGAAAAACATACAACTTTACATTTATTTGTTATAAATATATATATATATATATATATATATATATATATTTTTTGAAGCATTCATGAACACAAGTTGTTATCCAAACACAGGGAATGCTCAATATTCTTATCATTCTGGATGTTTTCGTATCTTTAAATTCTTATGTACACAAACAATGAGTCCATTATTACATTTATGTTGTGTACAAATTTAGGAAATCATTTTTTAAAAATTAAATAAGAATAACAATGATCATCACCAATTACAGATACTAGTTATGTTATTTTATTATATTTAATTTAAAAAACTTGCTCTGGAGGAGTAAGTGTGATATAAAATAAATAAATAGAATCCAATTTCATTTGGCGCTCAAATGTGAAGTACTGATTTTCCAAATTTTATCAACTTAACTTCAAATTCACATACATCAAAGTATACAGTACTCATAGGTTTATTTTTAAATTTAGTGCTAAATTATCAATTATGTTGAATTGAAGACTTAAAATTTTCAGCACATGGTGTATAAATTTACCAGGAATAATATATTCCATTTTTTTTTTGACGTGCATAATTATTTTTATCTTTTATTAAATTTTTACAAATATATTATATAGTTTATATAAAAATATATCTTTAATGACAAAGATTAACATATAATGTTTTGTGATTGATATCATTATTGTGCTTACAATTTAAATTCTTGTTGTTTCTTTATATGGAATTAGATATAAATTCTATTATTCTTCAAAAAACGTCATAATTACAACAAGTCAATTATTATTTTTAGATTTGTACCTATGAAATGAAGAGCTTTTGTGTTGAAAGATATAACATGAAATAATAATTTTTTGCAAGTATTCAGATTATAAGTATTTAAATTAAATCTTACATGATTAAGAACATCTCTACTTTTCTAAATGAAATCATACAAGAAAAGTCTTAACTTTAAAAAATATAAAAATAAATTTGAAACGTTGAAATAAACAATCTTTTAAGCTAAGGTGGCGTTTTTTGAAACTTGTGTGATACTAATTCCTTCAAAAATATTTAGGAAAAATGAAAATATCTTGTCAGATAATGCAAAATAATAGATTTTTTTAAAAAAAATACTTTTTTAATAATATATTTATAGTGCTAAAAATTTAAAAAAAATACGTTAAAACTCAAGTTGCAAAGATGTCATGTAAGTTTTTGCTGCATAGAAGCTAAGTCTTATTCTTAAGTCATATTCAAGCTTGTAGCAATCTTCACAATTCATGGGATAAATTTTTAAATGTCACTTTAAGATTTTTCAAAATACTTTTCAAGTTAGTATAGGTGAATTTTAGGTAGATATCCATTATTTATAAAAAAATTATAAAATTTTAAAAAAATATTATATATATATATATATATATATAGATATATAATATTTTTATATATTTTATATCAATATTATATATATATATATAATATTTTTACATATTTTATATCAAAATTATATACAAATTTGAGACAATTGGTAGTATTTAACCTCCAAAATCTATGATTTTTTCTTTCAAAAGTATGCTAATACTTTTTGAATCAATAAACATCAAAATTTATAAGATAGAAATAAAATAATAATAAAAAAATCTAAAAACTACCATATTAAAAGAAGAAAATGACAAGGATGTGAATCTTAAAGAAAAAAAAAAATCTTAATACATTCTTATGTTATTCAAAAAAACAAATAAATCATTCAAAGATGATAATATATTGAACTAGAATAGTTATTGCAAAAGCAGACTAAAAAGTCATGAAATAAGACTAAAGACCAAAAAAGTATTGATAAGAAAGAAGAAAGCTTCACTCTTGCCTCCATATATATTATCTAACTAGGAGCTACATGACAATGTTCTATAAGACTTCTAATACGTGTTGACTTTGTAAGACACATGTCTTAATTTGTAAGACAAGTTTCTTACATGTGTGCAACATTATTAGCTTATATCACAAGCTACAAACACGTACAACATGCGGTTAATTTATTGGTCAAGTTTCTAACATATCAATCAATTACAAACATATATAAGATCAAGTATGCATCTATGAAGCTTTTAAGAAGCTTTTCCATAAGATAATATCAAATTTACTTATATTTAATTTTTATCTAATACTTCTTATATATATAATATTATCTCCTCTTTTAGGAACATGTTCTATAAGGAGAAATCATCATCTTTCATAAATCTTGCTACTTTTATCTTAGTCTTGATAGATGTTGATGAAATGAATCAACTTTCATTACTACATTTACAAGATTTTTAGTAAACTTCCATGTGCATTCACTAATCTCATATCTATACTAATAAATAAGACATTCCAATTTATTTTGGTGCCGCCTTGAATTTAAGACTTCTTCCACCTCAAACTCTTGATTACTATCATCTTCTATAAGAGAAGGTGGCATTTTTCTACTACCTAAGATATTCACTATCTTATATGGTTCAAGAAGATATATGTAGAAATAAAAGATGGTCAAAGCCTACCTTAATCCAACTTATCATAAGGATGATTAATCTTGATATTGTGACAAAGTAATCATACCTTGTTGACTATGTAGAATTGAAGTTGCTCCTTATAATAGGCATCTGTATTAATCATTTGTTATTTTTAAGCTTTTATTAATTATACCTTTATTATCGTATATAGCTCAAATAAATAATTCGTTAAATCTTCTATTGTAGGATTTTAAACTTTTAAAAAATTAAAAATATTAAATCATGGATGATAACCATAACTAAGAAAGAAAGATGTTTTTTGAATAAAAAATGTATCATATTATTATAAATAAACTTCACATATAACAAAATATTTATTTAATCAACTTATTGATAATTGGTGGTATACCTTAAATATCACTTCAAAACTTGAATCATGCATTCTATCTTTCTATTAATTTAATAAAAAAATAAAAGATAGATTTATGTCTACATTTAAAATCTTCAATATGATTTTTTAAATTTTTATTAAACTTGAGTCTTCCTATCAAATATAATATCCTTTGATAATTTATAATAGTGATAAATATTATGAAGAAATAGCTTAGTTTTTTTTTTTATTTGTAATAGATTTTGTATATAATATAAAATATGCCAAGTTAATAAAACAATCTACTATCACAAATATAGAATCATATAAACTTGAGATTGAAAAATCTTTGATAAAATCCATCAAAATAGAAGACTGTAGTTGTTTTGGAATAGATAATGATTGAAGAAGTCTATAAGGTTGATGACAAGGAGTTTTTGATCTTAAAAATATGACACATTATTGTACAAAGACTTTAACTACCTTCTACATTTGATGCTACCAAAAATCTCTTGATATTTGTTTCAAAGTCTTATTGTATCCAAAATATTTAGCTATTGAAAAGTTGTGATGAGCTTGGAAAACACGTAATTGTGCTTTGTCTTTCGGAATATATAATCATCT